ACTGGTCCGCTAGGCTAGGTGTTGAGCCCAGTGTCGATTAATAATGGGTCGCGTGTCGGCATAGTTATATCGCGGCGACTGAATAATTCAGGCCCATCTCGAATTGAACTTGCTAACGACCGTGCAACCATTATCCTTTGGGCCGAAGAACCATATTGGCCCATTGGTGCTTATAATGTCATTGTCGATCGAAAACGTGATACAAAATTGCAGCGTGTTAGTCTTGCCTTTGTCACGTTGTGTGCCACGTGCCAAATATCCACGTGGTTGTTGTTGAATACTTTGAACAAAACATTTATTAATGGTGGTCGATACGTTATTTCATCTGGGAAAGACGATGTTTGAAAGGCCAATGTGGCTTTCATTTTGCAATATTTGACATCGTCATTGATGTTTGTTTGTATCAATTTGTACGACGCTGTCCATGGGCATCCTTTTTTATCTGCGGCAGCATATGCGTTTTCAAAATATGTGATGTCTACTGGGCATGTAACTGGAAAAGTAAATCGAGCCTGTAATTGATCGTCCGCCCGTAATCGTGTGTCCCGTATTTCTACTTCAACGCGACCGGTTGAATTAAATGGACACTGTTGTCTGTAGCTTAGTATGCATTTGTCAATTATCATTGACTTGAATGTGAGCTTCTGCCACATTGCATCGCCTATCTTCGGATTGGTTATTGATATATTGGATACCGGTAAGTTCGATGCTGCGTCTATTATAGGGACGCTCCTGGGATCATATACAAGTCACTCCCTCACTCTCTTATACTAGTAAAGTTTTTAGAGAGTGACTTGCGTCATCTGAGAGAGTTAGTGACGTGATTGAGAGTGAGTTATGACCTCAATGCGACGTCGTTTTAGAGTTCAAAACAAGAACATCTTTCTCACATATCCCAGATGTTCTGTACCTAAAGAGAGATTGTTAGAGAAAATTAGAGAGTTGTTCACTAACAGGCCACCAAATTAATTGAAGTTGTTAGGATTCTACATCCTGGGTGTAGTTTTACGCCAAACTGGTGGTCTCTCTGAAATTGCCGCCGATACACCTGGGCTCGAAAGTGACATGCGTGACGCTCCTACTCAGACTGTGGAGTTTGATCCGTCTGGTATACTTGACAACGGGCAATGTGAATTTGTCATTGTGTTGGACCGTTTTCCTAATCCTGCGTTCCAGTGGCCCAGTGGTGACCCACGAACTGGTTGTATGGTCAGGGGCACAGAAATAGATCGTTTTGTTGTATTGCGGCGTGTCTCTGTTTTAATGCCGCCGCAATCGACTGAATATTCAGTCGTTAGCTGTTAAGGCGTGAAAACATTTATCAACATCGGAAAGAATGTTGTATCCGAATTCCGAGATAGTTTTGGTGTGCTGAACGGCACGTATAATAATATTGTAAAAAACGCAATTATTTGTTTTTTTGTGTGAAAATGTCGCACAAAATCATTTGTAAGGGCGCATTTGAATTGTAGATTGAAATATTGTTATTAATAAAATAATTGATTACAACGTATTTTACATCGGCCTCTGTTGTACATTTATTTTTTAGGCTGATATGGACCCTTCGACTGTGGCCTTTACAGCTTCTGCTACTAATTTGGACGCCTCATCTGTAGTGAGCCTTGATGATATAAAAGAGAAAAGCAAAGCAAAAAAAGAGAGAGTGCATGAGTTTAATGTTTTCATTCTGTCTAAATAATTACAACGATAGGGGAGTTAGTGTAATTTTCCAAACGTCAAGGGGTGATATATATTAAACTCAAACCTCGGGGGGTGTAAGTGTAATTTAACCTATTAGTATATAATATAAATTATAGTTCTATTTTCTCATCTATTTAATTACATTTATATTAGTATATAATATAAACCACATCTCCATGCTCTTGTCCAATTTCCATACCGTTTTCAGACACAAGATGAACGGTTCTTCGACGTTACTCACGATCGCACTAATCGTCATTTTCATCCAACCATATTATTCCAACGGTTCTTCGGCCCAAAGGACAATAGCTGCACGATCGTCAGCAAGTTCAATTCGAGATGGGCCTGAATTATTCAGTCGCCGCGACATGACTATGCCGACACGCGACCATTATTAATCAACACTGGGCCCAACACCCAGCCTAGCGGACCAGTCGACATAGGCCCATCTGTAAGTGAGGCCGGATCCAATAATTCCGAATTATCAAGGCTCACTACGGATGAGGCGTCCAAATTAGTAGCAGAAGCTGTAAAGGCCGCAGTCAAAGGGTCCATATCAGCCCAAAAAATAAATGTACAACGGAGGCCGATGTAAAATAATCAATTATTTTATTAATAACAATATTTCAATCTACAATTTAAATGCGCCCTTACAAACGATTTTGTATGACATTCCCACACAAAATAACAAATAATTGCAATTTTTACAATATTATTATACGCGCTGTTCAGCACACCAAAACTATCTCGGAATTCAGATACAACATTCTTTCCAATGTTGATAAATGTTTTCACGCCTTGACGGCCAACGACTGAATATTCAGTCGATTGCGGCGGCATTAAAATAGAGACATGCCGCAATACAACAAAACGATCTATTTCCGTGCCCCTGACCATACAACCAGTTCGTGGGTCACCACTGGTTGCAATTTTTACAATATTATTATACGCGCTGTTCAGCACACCAAAACTATCTCGGAATTCAGATACAACATTCTTTCCAATGTTGATAAATGTTTTCACGCCTTGACGGCTAACGACTGAATATTCAGTCGATTGCGGCGGCATTAAAATAGAGACATGCCGCAATACAACAAAACAATCTATTTCCGTGCCCCTGACCATACAACCAGTTCGTGGGTCACCACTGGACCACTGGAAAACATCTTCAAACTTAGGCGTATACGCAGGATTAGGAAAACGGTCCAACACAACGACAAATTCACATTGCCCATTGTCAAGTATACCAGACGGATCAAACTCCACAGTTTGAGTAGGAGCGTCACGCATGTCGCTTTCGAGCCCAGGCGTATCGGCGGCAATTTCAGAGAGACCACCAGTTTGGCGTAAAACTACACCCTGGATGTAGAGTCCTAACAACTTCAATTTTCGACCAAGTCGTTCATCCTTTTCAGTACCAACCTCCGGCAAATCGAAATGGAAAAAATGAGGCTCATCATATGGGCAAAAATCGTCAATCCTCCAAATGGAATCACAAAACGATTTGGACGTGAATCACGTTTTTTTGTAATAACTACATTTTCGCTTAAAATAACTTCGGCCGGAAACACCGGATCTACTGGATGTTGTCCAATGGCGACTAAAATTTCCTTAACAATCTCTTTTTAGGTACAGAAAAGAGAAGACGGTTCTCAATCCTAGATGGGCCTTCAATTATAATGATCTTGGGCCTGTGTGGTCTTTGGGCTTCATCTCGAATATTTTCTGCAACCCATTGCTGTATATATGTTGGAACGATCCATATTGTCTCTGTAAAACGATGAACGTATGGCAATGAGAATTTAAACGATATTCTGTCATAATTAGATGACAACTTGTCGTAATTTAGCCGATAACATTTTGGATCGCCATTTCTTACCATTGCCAATGCTTCGTCCTTGCTGCCAACGGCAAGTGCGTCGCGATATATATTTTCTTTGTTGTTCTGGTTAGCGCAGTGGCCCCTCTCATGGAATTCACCCCATTCCATGTAGTCCCCGTATTTGGAGATGTACTCATAGGGATTAGTTCGATCGTGAGTAACGTCGAAAAACCGTCTTCAAATACGGGGACTACATAATATAATAGTTGCGTCATCCGAGAGAATTAGTGGAAATATTATAGGGACGCTCACGGATGTTCGATATTTTCAATTCAACATTTTAGAGTTCAAAAAGACCCCTGACAGCTTTGGGAGTCCGGACCAGTGCTCTATTCATGTGAAAAACCCCAAAAATCAATCAAAACCATTTGTGCACAAGTAGCCAGAGCCACTTAGCCTATTATATTCTTAACCAATAAACAGCATAGGGCCCACTTACAAATGTCAAGATGTTGATAAGTATTATTTCACATGAAATGGAACAAGAAGACATTGGATAATCAGATCACAATTTTTAACTAATGAATCGAGAAATACTTTCCAATATATCTAAACCCGTAATTATTATATTAAGTGTTTTGAAAATATCACAACAGCTGAACACATTCAATTTATAGCCCACAAGTGTTCAGAAAGCTAGATTTCAGGTTCAAGAATAGTGAAGCCTTTTCACATAGTCAGATTGAGCATGTGGATTACCAGCTCCAACATAAGTCCATGCCTGGAAAGCAATTATCACACTCTCATTCCTTTCACAATTCACAACTAATGAAAACAAATTAGAGAAATAATGTAAAAAGTATAATAAAAATATCACAAGTTTCCCTTCCAACTATGCACTATTAGAGTTGTAAACAAGCCAAGCTGAGTCAAGCCAAGTAGTAGGTTGTTGTCAAACTTGGCTTCAAAACTTAACTAGCTTCAAAATGTGTTTGTTTCAACTAGACTTGTTCAATAATGAATTGATCTCGAGCAAATTTTTAATGCTTTGAACACCAATTGAACTCGAATAGCATAATTTTTTATAGTTCCTTATTCAAGCTTGGCTTAAAAACTTAACCAAATTTTAAAATGTGTTATATGTTTGCCGAACATAAATCAAGCTCGAACAACTTGATTCGTTCTACATGCCTATCTACTGCTTTCTGTTGAACTGTAATACAGTCCAAGGTACTCTTCTTTGTTTTTGTTTTTTTCTTTCTTTTTTCACCTTCTTACTATAAATTCACATATAGTAAGTTCTAATTTCTTCTCCAAATATTTTCTCGGCAACCAAACAAGGCATGAGCCTCGCCAAATTTGCTCCGTCGTAATTCTATTTTTGATTCAACAAATGTATCCCCCAATCAATCAATGCTCTTTGACGACTAATAGATGGGAGCAACATAAAGAGAGAGAGAGAGAGAGAGAGAGAGACCACTCTGAGGGGACATTTGTAGAACTGGCGTCCACGATTCTTCTCGGTATTGGCAGTGAGAACAATACAAGCTCCCAATCCACAAGGACACGCCTTCTCAGGAACCGAAGGATCAACAACACCATACAAATTGGTATCGCAATCGCGAGACCAGTGTCCCGATTTCCCGCACTTGAAGCACGAATCTACTCCTCCGCCTCCTACGGTGCCTCCGCCGCCGGCAAATCCAGGATTAGCAAACATGTTGTTGTTGTTGTTTAGGACTTTGAATCCACCATTAGATCTGCTGCTTTGCTGCTGAAACAGAAGGCTTCTACTCCCTCTGAGAGCTGCAGTGTAGGCTCCTTCCGCGCTCTCCTCCGCCGCAGCAGCGTTAATGGAGCTTCTAGTGACGGCGGCGGAGGTGGTGGTGGTGGTGGTGGCGGTGGTCTTACGGCGCTTGGAGGAGAGAGCGTCGGCCTCCAGTGTTGCCACCTGAGCGAGGAAATCGTCGTCGTCTTCAACCTCGATAATGGCGTCTGCCATTTTGCCCCAACTTTCAAATCTGTTCCCTCACTCACTGCTCGTCGATTTGCTTTGCTTTATTAGATTCCCTTTTTCGTTTTGTTTTGGCGCAACTTTGGGCATGGGCTCTCCCATGTCACATTTTAGATTTCCCTTTTTCTTTTTGTTTTGGCGCAACTTTGGGCATGGGGTCTCCCATGTCACATTAGATTAGATCGAAGCGGGTCTTCAGTCCATTTTTTGGAATGAATGGTATTATTAGATTTAGGCCTAATTTGAGAAGACTAAATAAGTGTATTTTTTGATTTTTTATGAAATATGGGTTGGGTTTGAAGTGATGTATTAGAGACTTAAATAAGATAATGTGACTTAAATAGAATAGTGACTTTTTGTCTTTTTTCAATCTTCCCAAACTAGGCCTAAGGTTTATTATAGAGTTTTTTTTTTTTTGGTGATAATTTAAATGCGTAAATTTATTAAGTATTTTATTTTTATAAAAGAAATTATATTGATAGGTATTTGATTGGATTAAATTTTTATAAATAATTTATTTTAAAAATTATATTTAACTCCGATCAAATAACTATCGATATTCAATCAGCGTGATTTTTTATAAGGATAAAGAACTCAACAATTTTTATACATTAAACGATTCAGATTATCGAAAAAAGACCCGTGATGGGTTCTCACGAGTCCAACAACACGTTCTAATTCGATCTCAGACTGGGAATAAGCCTGGCCTTAGGTTATATTTGAAAATTCACACAAACTAGTGTGTGAAAATAAATAGAGACCCATAATACTATATGCACTTTATAATGAAAATATATACATATTGTTGGCTACATATTTTTTATAAAACCAATCACAGATCGACACGTGGCAAGATGAGGGCAATACGGGAAGACAATTCAAATCTTCGATCGTAATCGTATACGTGGCAATTAGTATTGGTTTTTATAAGATTTGTGTAGCACTGAATCAACAAAAAGATGCAAAATGACGTGGCTTCAACGGTTATTCATATTTAAATTCCAAATCAGGAGGGAAACCTAAATTACAGATATGGCATAGTGGAGCTAACTATAAGGCAACATCATTAGCGATTATGGAAGGGCGATTCGACGGTTAGAAATGCAGTTCGACGGTTGTCATTGAGAAGTATAAATAGCAGAGAAGGCCCCATAAAGTGGCCCCAGACTCAGATCCAAAAAATAAATTTTATCTACTTTATTTTTCTTTCCAGTTTTTACATTTCTTGTTCTTTACATTTCTGTACTTCAAATTCATGTACTGCATTTCGTTCATAGGAGTAGTTTTCAAGTAACTTGTTGTTGTAAACCTCTACGAGGCTGATTTGGATCTTTGTAAGTCTTTTATTTTACTTAATGAAATGCTATGATTGTTCTTCATTTAATCATTGTTCGCTTAATTCTCCTAAATAAAGCCATTAGTAAAAGTCATCTTCATTGAGGCAGAAAGAACTAAAACACAATCGCCTGATAATTGGTTGGCAATTAATATTCTGTAAGGACTGATTGATCCTTACTAGCACGCTCACAATTACAAGCATAACTTTCGAAAGCCAAAAAGCCAACATATATTTTTGGCACGTCCGGTGGGACTAATTGAAATGGCTAGACGTAGGAGACAGGGAGAAAATGAACGCTTGGAAGAAGACGTGGAATGAGAGGTAGAAATGCCTAATCCAGAGGATAATGTGATAACACATCATGTGGAAGCACCTATTTTATCAGAACCTATGGTCGAACAGACCAGCACTTCGGAATAAGTACCACATGTTCATAATATTAAATGAGGCCAAGGAATTGGACCATCTGCTGTTTTATCTACTCAGCCAATGAATCCATGGGGTGGCCTAGTAGATGCCATGGGACAGCAGTTAATGAACACAATGGAAATGTGGGCAACATCCTTTTTGGATCGAATGAATACTCATCAACCAACTAATGCAAGGCATATAGAAGAAAATTCAAATGTCCCTCAGCAAAGATTGGCTAGAAATAAACAATCTATATAGAGTAATGGACATACTAATGGTCAAACTAGTAACCAAAACCATGAAAGACCATCACCTCAGCCTTGGTATGAGCCTCTTTCGAGGCCTGTGGCAAATCAAAATGCCTCCTTACTTAATAGTGAAGCCATGCAAATTGGTGGATATGGTCCAACACAAGAAAATGGCATAAGGATGTTTCCAAATCCCATGTTCGAAGCCATACTTGGCACAAGGGGGTTCACTAATCTTTTGTTCGAATTTGTACCCAGGGGGTTGGAAGGGTTTCTTGCAACTGGAAGAGACAAAACACCCGTTCCAGCACCTTTTGTAGGTCCTTTTGCAAAACAGGCTCAAAGGGGTCACCCATACCCTCAAAAGCAGCTAGCACCACAGAGACAACCAGTCCCAAACATACCACCCTATGGACCAAGAGAACCCTAGGCACAAGGTTGTCCACCAAATCCTGTGTTTGTTCCTCCAGTAGTGGTTCAATAGGCACAAAATATGGTCTCTAGGGACCAAATTGTTGATATTGTTAGAGAGATGTGTGGACTAATGGCTCAGGGGATTCAAACTCCTGTGTACAGGAAACTGTACCCAAAATGGGTAGATACATGAATACCCAAAAGGCTTCAGGATACCGGACTTTGCCCTTTTTTATGGGAATGGAAACCAGTCAACGGTTGAATATATTGCTAGGTTCGCTGCTCAGTGTGGTAAGTTTACCAATAATGACTATATGAAGTTAAGATTGTTCCCAAATTCTCTAACTGGGGCAACCTTTGTATGGTATATTAACCTTACACCTAGCTCTATCCAAACTTGGCAACAAATGGAGGAGGCATTTCATGCCCAATTCTTTCAAACAGAGCCAGAAGTTTCTATGACAGATTTGGCAAGATTGAGTCAAAGGCTTGATGAGAAGGCTACTCAATTTATTGCCAGATTCAACAGAGCACGAAACAAATGTAGGATCATCTTACCAGAGCCTGAATTTGTGAGGTTGGCGAATGGTTTAGAGTTTAGGCTTCAAAAGAAGTTTGACTCAACTGAGTTTAGAGACTTAGTGAAACTAACCTATAAGGTGTCTAGGTATGAAACATTACTAGAGGAAGAGCAAGATCGAAGTAATGCATCATATAAGACGTATTATAGAGATCCTAATTATGGGATTGATGCAGCAGAGATTGTGGGAAAAGAACCTGTGATCTGTGAGGTATTAATTCATAAAGATACAACAATAGATCAGAAGTTTAAAAAGAAAGACCTTCATAGGAAATACTCTTTCGATTTAACAAAGGCAGATGACATTTTTGATCATTTGCTTGCGGCAAACTTCTTGAAGTTATCAAAAGGAGTCAAAATTCCATCTCTAGAGGAACTTAAAGGAAAAGTGTATTATAAATGGCATAATTCTTGATCTCACTTAACTAAAAATTGCATTATTTTTCGAGACAGGATCCCAGAGCAGATTTGAAAAGGAAGTTTAAAATTCCCAGCTAAAGCAGAAAAGGCCATAGGGATTAACACTAATCCATTCCTAGAAATTGGAGAAGTGGCAACCAATGTTATTGTGCCAGACTTTTAGAACTTGTCCTTGAAAGAATTGAAAAATGTCAATGTGCAAATGCATGTTGCCAGCCAAACTACTGTCAAAACAGATGCTAGAAGTTTACTAGCTGTTAGGCAAGGCTTTGCAGGTCAGAAGGAAGACTTTAATGAAGAGGCACCGGATGATGATTCTTTAGAGGCAGTTGTTATGCAAAGAATGTGTCCTAGGTGTAGGTTGAAAGGGCTTCCGATTGATGGGAAGCAATATTATAAGGATGTACAGAGACGTCCTAAACCAACCAGTGCCTATAATAAGAGGCCATATCCAGCTGGTACTAGGCAGTAGCCATTCATGACTGAGCCAACAGCCACCGGAATGCACTCCAAGGGTAAGAGACCTCTACATGAATTCAGACCACCCAACTATTACAGAATGGAGGGCAATCATCCTGAGAGGAGACTTGAAGTGAGCTCAAGTCATGAGATCAAAGCCAGAGATTGGCCCCCTAGACCAATCTCACACAAAAAGGAAATTGGCCACCGTCATGGAAAGCCTGAATTAGGCCCAAAACAAGGGGTTAGAACTAAGCAGTGGCCTTCACAGCCAACTTCGAAACTAGCTTCGAAGGAAGAAAGAGGTAGTTCGACAACTGGGTTAGTAGGTTCATGGGTACCTGGAGTTCTAGATTGGTTTGTCATGCAGAACAAACCTAGAGAAATGTCTACCCAAAGAAATGTTGTTGGAAACCTAGATAGGATGGTCAAACCTCATTTGGTAGCTCCAAATAATTGGGTGTTACTAAAGTATCCAAAAACAAAGGAACCAGATATGGTCCTAGTGATCTCTAGATCCCAAAGGAGAAAGATCCAACGAAGTACACTCAGTACTAGAAGGATCAGAAAGAAAGTGGAGAAAGCTCTTCATTGGTCCAGCCAAAGGGCCAAGTAGAGGGAGAAAAAAAGTTTAAAGTTATGTCATAATCCAAAATCAACTCTTAAAGACAAGAGGAGTTGCAGCAAAGAGCAATTGGCCAAAGTTCATTCCAAACTGAAAGCCAAAGAGAGATCCAGTTTGGCAGGACTGGAAAAGGCTTTGATGGAAAGTGATAGTGAGACAGAGGAAGATGTTGGCCTAGGCCAAAGGAATGAGATGGTTGAGGAAGAAATGTTTGAAGCCTTTGTGACTGAACAAACGTTTTTGGTTGAAAAACCAGCAGAAACAGACCATTCGAAGGAAGTTACGAGTACTAAAGTGCCAGAATGCAGCATGTAAGATGTTTCTGAAATAATTGAACAAGTTGGCCATGAAGAGAAATAGGTACAGCCAGGCATCCGATTTGGCTTGTTTCCTCTAGTATCAGTGAATATGGTACATATACTACCATAAGAATTCCAAGCTGAAGATGAGAACCAAGAAGGTCAAGAAATTGACCCAATTCCAATTTCCAGTGAAGACTCACAAGTGAGTATGGTGCAAGATGAATCCGAAGTGGCCATACCAATGGAAACTGGAGATGAGAGTGAAGAAGATGTGAGTATTAACCTCTCATACCCTTTTGAGTATCCCACGACATCCATGACACAGCATGTCAAACTCTTGTA